CAAAGTGAAGTAGCTCGTCAAATGGAGTTGTTGCGTGAGCAAATGATAGCCGTGGAGGAAGAGTTGAAGAAGTTGCATGCGCAACACGTGGCCAGCTACCAAGAATGCCTCGATCGGCTGCAGCGGACTGCCGCGGACTGCACGGACAAAGTAGAGCTGGTGAGGAGCGGCTTGGAGAAGCGAGAGGCTAGACTTGGGACGTTGGAGAGACGCTGTCGCGAGATGCTGGAGGAGAAGACCTTTCGCAAGGAAAGTTCGCTTCCTGTCGCTTTTGTTCGCAACACTTGTCAGATGCGGTCTCAAGAGCGTCCTGGGAGTTCTGCACCTTCCTCTCCTGCGGGTTCTGCAGCAGGACGCGCGTCCAGTTGCTGTCCCTCGGACTCAGATATTCGTGCTCGACTGGAGTGAACCACCGACTGCGAGCACGGACCTTCTACGAACAGGGCCGCGGCAGGGAGACTGTTCGGCTGGTGGAAGAGGCGCAGAGGACAGCGTTACGGGCACGCACCTGTTCGGTGGAGCCTGGGTTGGTGCTGCGCATGGACGCTGCTCGTGCGGAAGCTGCCAGACGAAAGGGCGACCCGTATTGGGAAGCCAACTGAAATGCTGCACAACCCGGATTGGGAAGTGTAGCCCGTGGAATCATCTCGCCGAAGGTGGTGATTACTGTGTCATCCAGTAGCAGCTTCTACGCTGTGCGACCCGTAATTGGGAAGCCAGCCAAACGGATGCTTGATGCCTAGATGGATCGCAGGACTTGTACAAAAGGTGCGTGTGCCCGAGCGTGTGCGGCCTCGCGTCCATGTGATGTGCTTGTCGTAGTGCTCTGCTGTCGGCTCGCGACGTCGTGTGCGGCACGAAGTTTCTCGGAGCCGGTGTCCTTACCCAGCGGATTGGCAAGTTCGTCGTTTTGGTCGAGCTGTTTATCATGATTATCTCCAGTATGCCAGGGCCGGTGTCAAGTTTCGATTGTGGCGGAGCTGACGGAGTTCGAATCCCGGACGTCGCTTCTGCGCGGGCCGGAGGTGATCTGGGTCTTGGAACACCGCTACATCCGCAATCGAGAGGATCGCAAACATATCCGAGGATGTTTCCGAGATGTGTTCGGCTCGACTGTGCAGGAGTACAAGTCCGCGATGGCTGGGCGTGGGTGCGGCACTGACAGTAACGTCCTATGGAGCCCTTCGCTTTCGGGTGATGAGGAAGACGATGATTTCTTTGCCGATCGGGACTTTGTCTGATTGACAAGTTGTCGTTGCTTCAAGTGTCAGGCCACCCGTGGACTTGACCCGGATTGGGAAAAGCAATGACGGCCCGTTTCAATGTCGCTGCTTCACGTGGCAGGCCACCGATCGCCTCGACCCGGAGTGGGAAGAGTGACGAGGCAGCCCGTAATTCGCCATAGGAGCGGCCTTGCACAGAAATTCCGAATTGATAATTCACATGGTCGTGACTACCGGAATCGACGGTGATTGCCAGGTTTTGAGTAGCTGTTTCGACCGTTGCTGTGGGGAGGTTGAAAATATGTGCTCGTTTGCACGACGTTCGTATCCATGCTTTGTTGTGGTATAATATTATCGCATGGCATCCCGCGGAGCAGGTGTTTTGCATGCATCTGCCGCCTCCGCAATCTGGTGGAAGCCCGACTAGCACTGCAAGTCGATGGGTCGCTCCGTTGCGAAGAAGCCTGCAGCTGCCGTGAAAAGGAAGCCTGCTGCAGACCGGCCCGCTGCACGCTGCCGGCCGAAGTGCCGAAGCATGAGTTTGCAGGCTTGGACCGAGAAATATTACCCGAACGACGTCAAGGGGAGGGACCGGATGCCGAGTGAGGAGGTGGACACCGACTGCGGCTCGATGGGTCGCTCCGTGGTGAAGAAGCCTGCGACTGCCATGAAAAAGATGTCTGTTGCACCCCGGCACACTGCACGCTGCCAGCCAAAGTACCAAAGCATGAGTTTGGAGGCTTGGACTGAGAAATATTATCCGAACGATGTCAAGGAGAGGCACCCGATGGCGACAGAGAAGATGGACATCGGCGAAGAGAAGAAGAACCGTCCGAGGAGCAAACACGAGTCGCCGACGGTGCCTGTTGTGAACGAAGTCCAGAAGCTCCTGCAACGTTTGCGCCAGCAAGGAGAGGCGCTGACGGTGGAACAGCTGGGTTGGAATGTCATGGACAGACTGGACGAGGCTTGGTTCACTGGGAGCGTGCCCGGCATCGAGCGCGTCGCTCGTTTGCTGCAGGATCTGTTCTATCCACATGGAGGCTTCCGACCGTCCAAAAACCCTGGCACCACGGCGGATGTGTTGTTGGTCGTTGATGCCATTTGGCGTGATGCCGTGAACTTCGCGCAGGCGTCCTGCGAGAAAGATATCGACGAGTGCCAATGAAGCTTGGATATTATATCTGCCTGGCAACCACGGATCCGTCGCGTGCTCCGCGACCCGTATTGGGAAGCGGACAGGGATTCAGTCAGACGCCGCCTGCCAAGCGGATGCCATCGCAAGAGTACGAGCAAAAGGATGTATTGCAAGTGTTTGCTCAGTGCTAGCAGTGTGTGGTGCGTGGTGTGTCAGCGAGATGTCTGTTTTCGCAAGCTCCATTTGTGTGTTACTTTGTAGTCGGCTCAACGTAGAAGGCCACGAATCGACTCGACCCGGATTGGGAAGACCGACTCGGCTCGACCCGGAGTGGGAAGAGCGACGGCCTGCCCGTCGCCGATCTAGGATCCGTCCACATGGAGACCGGGCTGCTGAAGCCATCGGAGTATGGGGGACTCACCGGCACCGCCGTTGCAGGGCGGGTTGTGCTGCTGACCACGCAAGAAGTGGCGATCAGGCCGAAAGCCGTCAGTGCCGCCGCGCCGGCCAAGGGCAAGGGCAAGAGCAAAAAGGGATCGCAGCCGGCACCGCAGACAACAAGTCAGAAGACGGAGTTGCGTTTGGCGGGAGAAGACTCGGTCACCGAGGTGCTCTACATTGACGCCTGGGGGACTGCGTCTGCAGAGCTCTGCGCGCGTTGCAAGGTTGGAGATTTGATTTCCATCGCGGGTGCGTCAGTCATGACGACGCCGCCGCCGTTTTCAACGTCCCGCATGAGCTACTATCTGCGGATCAAGGGCAAGCTGGGATTGGTGGTTACGGTAAACAAGATCGAGAGCCTGCCTTGGGGCGAGGCTCCTCTGCATCATCCATTGGTGTCGTTGGACGCTCTGGCCCGCGTGAAAGACAAGCAG